ATTTTACCTTTCCTGAAAATATCATTTTTTAAGAACATAAATCTGATCATGTCTCTCCCTCTGTGTAACTACCTCCAAGGCTTTCCACTGCCTTTAGAATAAATCCCCCAGGTGTCCCAGGATGTACAAGCCCCGCACAGCCTAGGTCCAGCCCGCCTCTCCTCCCCTCCTCACTCTGTCCCTTGCCAGGGCAACTCCCATGGCTTGCCCTCTTTCAGTGCCCTGAGAGCATCAGGCTTGTTTCCACCTTATGGCTCCTGCACCTGTTGTTCTTTAGCCTGGACTGCTTTTCTCATGGGTGGCTTTTTCTCATGAGTGAACTCTCAGCTTTATTGTTCCACCTCAGAGAGATCATCTCAGCCACACTCTATCAAAAGTAACACCCTCACTCTACTTTTTTTTTTTTTTTTTTTTTTTTTTTTTTTTTTTTTTTTCAGAAAAGGTCTCACTCTGTTGCCCAGGCTGAGTGCAATGGCATGATCTTGGTGCAATGCAGCCTTAACCTCCCAGGCTCACCTCAGCCTCCTGAGAAGCTAAAACTACAGATGCTATTAGCCACCATACCTGGCTAATTTCTTATTTTCTATAGAGACAAGGTCTTACTATGTTGCCCAGGCTGGTCTTAAACACATGGATGCAATTGATTCTTCCACCTCAGCCTTCCAAAGTGCTGAGATTACAGGCATGAGCCACCGTGCCCAGTCTCCCACCCTGGTTTTTCATCATAGTTTGTATGTTTAGAGACAGACCTGGCTCTGTCCTACAAGTTAGAGTACAGTGGCACAATCATAGTTCACTACAGCCTTGGACTCCTGGGCTTAAGTGATCCTCCTGCCTCAGCCTCCCAGGCAAATAGAACCACAGGTGCACACCACCATGCCCAGTTATTATTATTATTTTTTTTTTGTAGGGATCTGGTCTCAAACTCCTGGGCTCAAGTGATCCTCCCCACTCAGCCTCCCAAAGTGCTGAGATGACCAGAATGAACCACTGTGCCTGTCCCTTATCATAGTTATTTCTATTTAAAATAACATTTTAAGTTAGTTACCAGTTTGTTTACCTGCTCTCCCCAAATCCATAATAGTAAGACCTTGTTATCTGGGTTACCATTATATCCCCCTTAGAAAGGTACCTAGCACATGGTAGACACTCAATATATATTTGTTGAATAAATGCCTGGGAAAACGAGGTGCCTGAAGATAGCAAGATCCTCATCACTGGAGGCATTTACACATGGTTTGCACAACCACTTGCCAGGGCCATAGGAAAACCATGGGCAGAGGCTCGGCCACAAGAATAAAAGACTGCTAAGGTCCCCTCTAGTCCTATATACCTATGATTATAGGGCCACCACACCTTTTTTGCTATGCAATGAAAAGCAAAGGAGTATTCCTCAGTTACCTTGTACCAAATGATAGTATGCACACTCCTGTTCCTGCTGCAATATCATCTTGGCACTAAAATGTTTAAGTTAATCAGACATTTAATTTCAAAGTGGAAGGTCATTATCTTGTCACAAAATTTTTTTCCAATTACTTTTTTTTTTCTATTATACGAAATGAATTAAAAGTAGCACAAAACATTAGGAGATCAAACAGTCAATCAGAAGCTCATTAAATATCATTGAAATTGGTGCAATAAAAAGCATTTTGCATGGCTGAGTTATTATTTAAAAGCTATATTCTGGATGGCTCAAGGAATTGACATGCTGCCAATCAAAAAATCACCCTGTTCATAAATAGCCACTTGGCTTTTAAAAGTTCACTCTCTTTTTTTGTTTTGTTTTGTTTTGTTTTGAGATAAGAGTAAATATCTAAAAAGATTTAAAGCATGGGTGTAATTACTATTCTATCAACCCATTTGGAACCCCCAAGAGAAGATAACCACAAAGTCACTATCTGATCATTTAGGCCACAGTTTAGAGCAAGATGCTCACAGAGTGCTACCAGTAATTTTATAAACACTTAAATACATTACACTTATGTACAATACTCAGTTAAAAACAATCTCAGGCAGGAATAAGTGGTCAGTTATAATTTTAAAATTGTGTTCAACTCCACACTTAGAGTAAATGCTCATTTATTTTTTAAAGACTGATTCTTAAATAGTTCATTTTTCTATGAACCCAGGACCCAGACATAGGTGACTGCCCACATGAGAATCTGAAAGCTGATCACTTAAAAATTTTTTATATTTTTCCTCTGGGAATCTTCCCCTCCCCATCCCTTTTAAAAAGCTAAACCACTAATTTGATTATTTCTGTTTTATAGAAATGATCACTTTTTGATGTAAAGGACAGCAAGTCCTTTTCACTGGAAAATATACAATAGAAGTATTATTCCCAGTTTCTGAAGGTGTTTAAGTGGTGAAGAGAATATACATTTAAAACTACATAGAAGAGCCAGGCTCACGCCTGTAATCCCAGCAGTTTGGGAGGTGGAGGCAGGTGGATCACTAAGTCAAGTGTTCGAGACCAGCCTGGACAATATGGTGGAACTCTGTCTCTACTAAAAACACAAAAAGTTAGCCGGGCGTGGTGGCGTGTGCCTGTAGTCCCAGCTACTCGGGAGGCTGAGACAGAAGAATCGATTGAACTTGGGAGGCAGAGGTCGCAGTGAGCGGAAATTGCACCACTGCATTCCAGCCTGGGTGACAGAGCAAGAATCTGTCTCAAACAAAAACAAAAACAAAAACAAAAAACAAAAAACAAACAGAAAACAAAAAGCCTACATAGAAGAGAAAGCCACCAGGTGCAGGAAATTACTTCTTCAGAAGAACTAAAGGATTTCTCCCATCTAAACTCCACACACTGCCACTACCCCAATTTCTTTTCAAAAGCCAGGATTTATTGGCAAATTATCTGGGAGTAAAGTGGGAGGGAAAGATTTCAATGCAAAATTCAGAACTGCTTTATAGAAAATGTGGGGAGGTTTGTTATCATTTATTTCCTCCAGTATATCATTCAATTTCAGCTGTCTTACGTCTCAGAAGTAGCTCCCCCATTTCTCACTTATGTGCCTAAGAAACATCTCCCTGGCATCTCATTCTCTTTCTCTGTCTTTCACCAGCATTTTATTATTTCTTAACTGTCCCTCTCATGCTTGTCTCCCTTTTTCCTAGAGATCCACGTGTCCTCATTTAGCAGTTTTCAGAAGCCAGGGAGAAACATTGCAAATAATGTTAAATATGATTAATATCTTGAATTCCTTGAAATATGACATGCATGAGTTACAATGAAACCTCTTTTATTTCCCCATGAAATGCTTTTGCATAATGAGAAAGAAAATGTCCTCTATGCCCTAATCAGCCCTGACAGTTCCTGGACTCCCAAATACTTTTATTTATGGCATTATTTATTTCATCTCTAATAAATGGGGGGGGGCACAGCACCATCTGAGGAGGCTGCAGGAGAGAGGGAGACAATCTGGGGTGGAAGAATGCAGAAAGAAGCTGAACAAGCAAGGGAGAGAGAGAAAGCTTCCAAAGGGAAGGAGACCAGGGAAAGGAGAGGCCAAAAGAGGTGAACCCCCAGAAGAAAATGGGTCACCATCCCAAGAGTAAAAGGAAGGCTCTGAAAAGGAAACACTTCAGAGTGCAGAGATGAGGGTCCTACATCAAGGAGCACCCAGAACTCTGACCTGGAGAACAAAGAAGGAAGACCGAAAAGCAGCCCTGAGGCGGGGTATGCTGGTTGGCCTAGAGGAGGGGTGATTTGAGAAAGGGAGCAATGGACCCTCTGCTCCAAAAAGCGGCTGGGAGAGGCCAGGTCATTTGTACCCCATGCAGGATCTTCTCCAAACCACTGAGATCTCTCATTCAAACCGCTACTGAAATTGTTTGTCCTCCAGACCCTCACCGATGGCGCCAGTTGCAGTGAGTAAGCCAATGCAAGGAGTGAGTTCTCGGGTTACCGTGGTCTTGCAAGTACATATACATATATTAAAAATGACACTGTTGAAAGTAATCACCACCCTCAAAGGGAGGTGTCAGGTCATTTTCTCCCTCAATTGCACAGAGTCTACTGGCTATGAGAAATGAGTTGAATTCAAATAACCCGGATCCATCAGTGCAAAACAGCCAGAGGCTCCCGAGTGTCTGACTTTGAGCAGTTTCCTTCAACCTCGCAGAGCCTCGGTTTTCTCATCTTTATAATGGGGGGAAAATGATGGTGTCATGCACTTTCAAAGGGACCTTACAGGAAACAAATGAAAAGGTGAAAAAATTCTACGTCCTGTGCACTTTTATGTTCCGCATTAGCTCAGAAGCCGCGAGGCTCCAGGAGAGCAGGACCCCAGGGCTCGGTAAACACCGCGAGACCACCTGGGACAAGAGGTTCTTTTCAGAATGATCAGGGAGCAATTCCTGATTGGCAGAAAAACTTCCTGTAATACACATATACTCTGACGACCCCGCCCCAACGACTAACCCCTCCTCTGTGCAACCCCGAGAGTTTGGGGTCAAGCAGGGGGCGCCAGGAGCTCGTTTCGGAAGCCGGACCCCGCCCGCAGCCGCAGAAGCCGCGGGTCCACATGTGGGGCTCTAAAGTCTCGTCGTAGCCGGATTCCGGATCCCCACCTTCTTTACCGGTAACCCCGGCGCCCTCCAGATCCTCGCTTGTCCCTTCCCCCCGTCCCCGTCGGAGGCGCGGAGCCGGCGGGTCAACCCCGCTGGCGGCGGCGGCGGCGCCAGGCCCCGCCCCCGCCCCCATTATCATTAGCAGATATTACCCTAAACACTTGCTCTTTACCTCCTTTCTCCCTCCAGGCATTGGCGAGGCGGCCTGTCAATCAGGAGCTCGGGCGGCAGCCCCCCGCGCGGGGGCTCGGCGATGCCAGCCTCAGCGACAGGCGGCGGCGGCGGCGGCGGCCACGGCACAGACACACGCCCTCCCACACGCGCGCGCCGGGGCAGAGCCGGCGGGCAGGCGGCGGAGGCACCCTCGGAGCCCGGCACGCGGCGGGGAGGGGACGTGCTCCGCGGGACCGGCCCCGAGGCGCCGGATGGAGGAGGAGATGCAGCCGGCGGAGGAGGGGCCCAGCGTCCCCAAAATCTACAAGCAGCGCAGCCCCTACAGCGTCCTCAAGACGTTCCCCAGCAAGAGACCGGTGCTGGCCAAGCGCTACGAGAGACCCACCCTGGTGGAGCTCCCGCACGTGCGGGCGCCCCCGCCGCCCCCGCCGCCCTTCGCGCCGCACGCCGCCGTCTCCATCAGCAGCAGCGAGCCGCCGCCGCAGCAGTTCCCGGCGCAGAGCTCCTACACCCCCGGGCCCGGCCGGGCTGGGGCCGCCGCCGCCGCGTCGTCGTCGTCGCCGTCCTGCACGCCCGGCGCGTCCCAGGGCCACCTGAGGACTCCGGCGCCGCCGCCGCCGCCGCCCGCGTCCCCCGCCGCGTCCTCGTCGTCCTCGTTCGCCGCCGTCGTCAGGTACGGCCCAGGCCCGGCGGCGGCCACCGGCAGCAGCGGCACGGGTAACGACGGCGCCAGCCTGGAGCTCAGCGCAGGTACCAACTCTCGGCGCAACTTTCCTTCCCGCCACGGCCGGGGGCAGCGGGAGGGGACCCGGGAAGGAGGAGCGGGGGGGCGCCGACACCCGCCCGCGTTCGGCCCAGTCGGGGCGTCGGGGCGCACCCTGAGGCCTCCCCGCGCGCCCAGAAACTTCTGGAGGATTCCCCAGTGCCGCCGCGCCGGGCTTCCGACGGCGCGCTCCTAACAGGTGGCTCCGCGGCTTGGAACCCGCGCCAGGAAGCGCGGCTGCAGCGGTCTGCCGCCGGGATTGCTTGGGCGGGGTCGGAGCGGGGGCCGGACGGAGTGGGGGTCGGAGTGGCAGGGGCGGCCGCTCCGGGAGAGGCCAGAGCTACTCAGGCCGCTCCGCGGGGACGCAGTCGTACTGCTTCACTTTTTCCTTTCGCTTCTTCCCTTCTCCCTCCCTCCTCCGTTTGTTTTTCCATCTCTTCACTTCTCCTTTGCTTTCTGGTGCTTTCTTCGCCACCTCTTAGATGCACTCTCGCGCTGTCGCGGACCACGCCAGCCGGCTCTCGGCTCCGTGTCTCCTTTCTGTGCGCCCGTTCTCCTCGTGCGCGCACTGTCCTGCTCTGCCCCTTTTCCCTCCCCAGCCGGCGGTTGTGAGACTCGGGGCTCCTCTGCGCCAGCCACGCGGTGGACTTCGGGCGCGGGGTGGTATCTTACCCCTCCTCCCTGCCCCGGGAGCAGTGGGTAGTCCGCCCCCACCGCCCACGCCGTCGATCCCACCATCCCCTCGCCCCCGTCCGTGGGACACCGCCGCGCCGTGGGGTGTTGCATTTCGGCCCGAGCCCTGCAAAAACGCCTCCTGGGGAGCACTCACCCTTGGGTCCGTGACTCCTCCTTTATCCCAACTCTGCCGGCGCTGCGCAGGCAAAGCACCCCACCGCCTGCCTGCAGGAAGCGAGATGGGCTGGTGGCGAGGCCACAGCCTGAGGCCTGCGCCCAAGGGAGCTCTCCACCAGCTCCCGGTGAGCGCAGCCACGTTTATCCGCTCATTAGAATTAAAAGTTACTGCAAAGGCTTTTTATGGCACTTTGGAGCCCCCCAAATCCTGCACATCTGTGAATCTAAGACTCTTTGTTTGCCCTTGTGGAAAATAGAAGAGTGTTGTGTCTCAATGAGTTATAGATGCCTCCACTGATAATTCTGTTTGTCAATATTTTGACACATGAAGGATTGGTTTTGAAAAAGAAAATCTAATTACAGGTTATAGTGAAGACTTGATTTGTCACATCTCTCACTGATTTGAAGATGTTTGATGGCTTTCAGTGGGGTTCTTAGGTGGGCTTCCTTCTTGTTTGTGGGGTGTATTTTTTTCAGTTGTTCTTGCCCCTATATTCCATTGTATTTTTATGTTATTTGTTAGGCTGTTGGCTCGCTTGGTTTTCCTCCTTACTTCATTTTCCCTCCACTTCTTAGTGAGGTTCGGTTTCTTTCTTTCTGGTTTGGGATCTTACTTTCTCGTAAACTACTTCTTGTTCAGGCTTATGTTTATTCCCAGGCTCGGCTTTATCATTCTTTATTTTTATGTCGTTTTCCAGCAATTTGAGTCCTTTTCCCATTTTCTGTGTTTTCCTTACTCTTTTGCGTAGCCTTAGTTCCACCATTTTCATTGAGGTTTTCCCCTCGTTGTCTGCCCAGGTCAGTCTTTGATCTCCCCTTGCTTTCTCCTTCCGGCCTTTGCTGACTGTCTTTCCACGTTTTACTTCCCGTTATACGCTATAAATCTAATCCCGTCTCATTTCCATTTTCATCCATAGTTTTAACGGGCTATATTCTTTTTTCTGCTCCAGTCACTTGCTGTCCTTTCCTTGGTCACTTCTACCCTGGAAGTTTCTTTGCTGTCTTTAATTCATGGGGAGTGGGGTTTTTTTTTTTCCTGCCTTTTCTCACGTTGTTCTAAATGTATTCTTTCAGTGTTTCTTCTAATGTCCTATTTAGTTTATTTTGTCTCTGTCCCCAGATGGAAATCATAACATCACTTTTAAAGGAGTGAAGAGGGACTTTTTTGATGCCCTTCAGTCTTCCCTATATTTCTTTTTATTATCAAGGCTGCCTTTGTTGTTTTTAAGGGAGGTCATAGAGAGGGGTGAGCTTGATAGCACCAAGGGCTGGATGCCTTATGCTTTTTGGAAAGATGGGAATTGGATGGTAGGTTTCTTCCATGCAGTGAGGAAAATAGTCTGGGGGCGTTGGGGGGGAAAGATGTAGAATTAGACATCATGAATTGTGGCCATAATATTAATCACTGATGGACAAAGCCATCTCTTAACATGCACAGTGATGTGAGTGGCCATCAGAGGAACAGCTACCTGAAGAGCTGATTGGTTCTTTGAGAAACTAGTTGTTCCACTTTGAACCAATGAGCATGTGTGCACAGACCCCTGGCCATTTAAGCATAGGGTAGGAGTGGGAGTGGCACTTTGCCTGTTACACCCTTGCAGAAGTGTAATTGCAGTGTCTCAAACTACCTAGTAAACTGAAAATAGTCAAAACATCCATGTGATGAAATGAGTCAAGGACAGAAGAAGAGACATAACTGAGTGTCCAGAGTAAATGCAGTAAAAAGATGAAAGGGTTGAAGTGAATCTTATGTGCCATTAAGACCCATAACTGAGAAGAGAAATACGTGATTAAAAATAGATTTTTTTTCAACATTCTTAAAAAATCTCATGAAGAGTATAATTTTCCTTAAAAGGGGTAATACACCATGGTTTTAAAAGCATATTTTTCCTCTGTGGGAGGCTTAGAGTTAAAACCCACGTAGATCTTGATATGCAGCCTAAATTTGGCATCAGGAAATGGGAAATTGCATCTTTAAGCAGAGTACAATCAAAAATGAATTACAATAAATCCTATATAATTGCATAGGTCATTCTCTTTAATGAGATTTTATTAACCTGACTGTCAAGCTTTTGAGTCAGGCAGATATTTTATCTTCTTCAACTGATAAAAGTGTCAGCTATAAACCACCATATAAATATTCATAAATCTACACATCTGTGGCAGCCTATCAGCATCATTCTTTTGGACATTAAAAGCATTCTAATTACTTTCTGTCTAGCAGAGCTGAAATGCTGCCTGTTATAGTATGTGCTTGGCAGGCATGATTGCTTTTGTTTGCCATCACAAATAGCAGCATCCTATTTTATATACCGATGGTCCAGAAAATATTCAGGGATTGACTGAGCAGGATGAATATTAGGAAGCACCATCTGGTTTTGATAGCACCGAGTATATTAACTCATCTGTTAATTTTTGACACATCATTGATTTATTTATTTAGAAAAATTGCATCCTGTTTTGCTGTGTTGATGTTTGCCATTATGAAAAAAATTGGATGGCATTTTTTTAAAAACAGACATAGTTCATTGATTTAAGACAAGGGTGGTGCTTCCAAAGACGCTTTCATTTTCTAACTTCTGTTTTCTATGCCATGAAGTCCTTTCTTAAAAAGAAGTTAGATTAATGTTTTAAGGAAATCATCTATTTTGAACTAGTTAGAAATCCTTGGGTAGATATAATATATGAATACGTGATAGTAGGTCACTAAAAAAATTTCTGCTTCTGCATTTTTAATATTAATATATTTCACCCTTCGCTGGGCTAAAATCAAAAGGTTACCACTAATCTTGACTACTATGATCTCCTTCATAGAAACAGAATTCTCTTGGGAATCTGCTGTGATGGGCAAATTCCATTCAAGGCTTTACTTACAAAGAAGGGCAGTAAAGTAGGGAGACTCTGTTTGATTGCCTACTTCCCATCCCTCCTCTTACTCACTTATCAGATTTAGGATGGATTAAACCTCTTAAATTCAGACGAATTTCCCGGAATGAATTTTTTAATTAAAAAAATAATCATGGGTTCAGATTTTGGAATCCAACGAGGCACAATTTGCAGCATGATATTATCTCCCAGTAGGCTGTACAATAAAGCAAAATAAATTAGGGAGAAGGGGGCATTTTAGAGGGCTTTGTCATTGTGATTTATTAACATTTTATGGTGTTTAATTTTAGGAAAGTAGGAATAAAGTAGATAAGGGATAAAGTAGTCCTTCTGTAAACTGTTGACTTTCTCTTTCCCTGCCATCACTTGAGTAGAGCATTCTATGCCTTAAAAAAAAAAAGCAGTTTAAAAAATCATAATACATGTTCACACTTTGCTCAATTAAGAATCATGGATCAAAAAAAAAAAAAAGAATCATGGATCAGTAACCATTCAATTGCGTTCATATGAAAACAGAACTTTTCTCCATTTCTTAGTGATAATGGGCATCACACAGTACTTGCATTTCTAATTGTAGTCTATCTAGAAGGCTAAACTAGATGCCATATGTGTTAAGTGGAAAGATTTGCTGTTTTCCACCAAATGTAATGGTAATATTTTTCATCACACTCTTCTGTATATCAGTGTTAAAATAGTATTCAAATAATTCAAGGTATTGAAAAGAGAAAAAATTCAACTTTAAAAGTGACAATAGCCATTTTCGTATAAATTCTGAAAGCGAATTCAGAATGTTTTTTTTAATTGTAGCTATTCTCTCATATTCTGAGTGCACTTTAATAGATTATCTTCATAATGTAGTATATTACATAATGATTTTTTCTCAGCATGTTACAAGTTTATCCTTCATGTAAGAAAACAAATCACGCTTGTCCGTAAGTCAGATTTTTTTCCCTTAAAATCTATGTTCTAATGTGATTTATCAATATGATTAAAACTACTGAGTGTGCTGTAGGACACTGAACAAATATATTTAAGCAGTTCTTTTTAGGCAATTCTGTTTTAGACTTTCATATTTTGTCCCTTTCATCAAGGTTGTGTTAAAGGTGTATAGGCTGTAAATCAATTGGGACTATACTGATTAAAATGCAAACAGTAAATACAACTTCAGGTCTAGAATGGGATTATAGGATTAAAATGAATGAAAACTGCTGTTGTGCTAGAATTGAAAATTCCCAATCAATATCATCCTTTGATTTTACTAATAAAAGAAAGAAACCAGGAAGTTAAAAAAAAAAAAAAGAATGTAACATCTTAAACCACTTACTTGTATTGTTCAGCTGTTGACTTTCTTGTTACTTGGTTTTGGCCATTGTAAAGAAATGGCACCCAAACATTTTTCTGAGACTCCAGATAAGAGTACAAATGCTGCCTCACAGAGCATATACCAGATAATTACAAAGTATAAATCAAGCTTACGAACTGTTGAATAAAATATATTCCATACACCTACTTTGACAAATACACTGACATAGTAACCAGGTTTGGAATTTACAGCCAATCCATGTCTTTCCCTCCCTACTCTCAGCTTTATTTTCCACTAGGAGGGACGTCAGGTGTACATATGTGGAGGTCCCAGTCCACACTTGCAGGATCTGGCACCATGGTCTGTCTTTGGATTCATGGCTCAGAGAAGATGGCGGCATAGATCCTTAAAGCAGTTTGAGTAGGGAATTCCTGGAACTTGGAGTACTTGGCCATAGGGACAGGATTGGCTGGAGAAGGAGGATCAGGTGGGGGTCGTGTTGCCAAGGTCTGAGGCTAACACTGTTCCTAAGAGTAAGAAAGTACTATTCTTAGAAGAAAATAGTCCTGTGGACTGTCAGCCTGCCTAGGGTAGACTTGCTATCCCTACCCCAGTCAAGTAAATCTGAAGATGCTGTAAACTGAGATGCTCTGTGTAGGTACAAGAGCCCCTGCTATGGCTTCAGTAACTATTTCTTGAGGCATCATGCTGGCACACACACTCAGGTACAGTTTATGATCCTCTACTGAGTAGAAGAGATCTGGCCTCCGTTCTGACTTGCAGTTTTTCAGAGGGATTCAGGATTTGGGAGATGTATGGGCTTTACATATATTATTATTTATTTATTTATTTATTTAGAGACAGGGTCTCACTCTGTTACCATGCTGGAGTGCAGTGGCATGATCTTGGCTCACTGCAATCTCTGCCTCCTGGGTTCAAGTGATTATCCTGCCTCAGCCTCCTGAGTAGCTGGGACTATAGGCGCATGCCACCATGCCTAGCTAATTTTTGTATTTTTAGTAGAGACAGGGATTCACCATGTTAGCCAGGATGGTCTCAATCACATGACCTCATGATCCACCTGCCTTGGCCTCCCAAAGTGCTGGGATTACAGGAGTGAGCCACTGCACCCAGCCGCTTTACATATATATTTTTATTTAAAAATTGGAAAAGGGCAGTTGGCCCCCTCTCCTCTCAGTATCTTAGTTATTTCATGAAAGAATAGTAAGATAAAAAAGCACAGTGGAGTGTTGAGTACTGCATGGAGTTCTCCTGAAGTGTAGCTTCCTTGGTCTTAATTCCGGGTGTTGTAGAGGATTTCTTATTGAAGCTGTTCTAGCTGATCATGCCCATAGCAGCCCTTAAACATCTCACCTCTAATTCTAAAAGGTTTTTTTGTCCAGAAAAAAAATGCAGCTAGTCATCATTTTCACAGAGAGCTAGTGCTAGTTGCATTTTTATCTTAAACAATTGTTAGAGGCATCTAAAATCTTGAATATTTTGTTTGTTGCCATTAGTCTGTGAAAGGGGAGAGGAAATAAGAGATATCCTCATGCTTCTGTGTCAGCTCTGAAAAGTGCCTGTCTCTCTATTTATAATAGCCCATTTTAGGTAGCAATCAGGAAAGAAGCGAATCTACCCATGACATCTATATTTAGGGTAAATTTTCAAGACCCTTAGACAACATTAAATTACATTTTCACAATTTGGGTTTTTGCCCCCTTTGTTTTTGCAGTGAGATTGCTTTTGTTGTTTTTTCCTTTCAGTGATTGACAGTTAATATTCTTTAGGATTCATGTACTTAAGCTAAGAGGTACCCATGCCACATGCCATTTTAGGATATTTGGTAATCTACTGGAAGAGGTTCTAAGACGTGATACTACTGATTTTCGGATGATACGGGTCATCCTAAACTTTGGCCTTGACAAGAAATCCGAGTTAGCAAATAAATGAAAAGAAGGAATAGTGAACACAGTTGTTAGAAGACCCATGCAGTTTGTGCTCATCCTGTGCCCATAGGCCCACTCTTTGTTTTACCTTAGATTTCTAGTGAGCACTTCAAAGAGACTTATCTTTCTTCTCCAGTTTGCATCTGGGAGCTATGTACTCTCGGCAGGGATTGTATCAGCTGATTAATAGCAAGGGCATGAGGGCACTCCAGAAATAGAAGTAATGATTGCTTTAAGCCCTCCTATCAATGAGGAATTGAGTCTGCAGTAGCTGGCTCGATTCGTTAGAGTAAGGATATTAATGAATCCAAAGGCGTGAGTTCAGACCTGTGCAGCCAGTTAATGCCACAGAGAGGGAAATCTCTATATGGTGCCCAGTGTCACAGTCCGGCCATTTCTTGGAGTAAGAGACTGAGTGTGACTCATCAAGCACCCCACCAGTCACAGAACAACAGGAAGCTATGCGTTCTATTCATAGTGGATTTACTGTGTCATCTTGGTTTATGACAGGGAGTAGAAATACATATTTTTAACATGTTTGAATGTTAAGCTCAAAATAAAGGACTTTATTTCTCTCTTGCCATTGGCCATTGGTCACTGACGTGCCCTTTCATTTGTTTCAGAGAGCCGAATGATCTTGGATGCCTTTGCCCAGCAATGCAGTCGAGTTCTCAGTCTCTTAAATTGTGGAGGAAAACTTCTGGACTCCAACCATTCTCAGTCCATGATTTCTTGCGTGAAGCAGGAAGGCTCAAGTTATAACGAAAGACAGGAGCACTGTCACATTGGGAAAGGGGTCCACAGTCAGACCTCAGACAATGTAGACATAGAGATGCAATATATGCAAAGGAAACAACAGACTTCTGCATTTTTGAGGGTTTTCACTGACTCTCTACAAAATTACCTGCTCTCGGGGAGCTTTCCGACTCCAAACCCCTCGTCCGTCAGTGAATATGGCCACCTGGCCGAAGTGGATCCTCTGTCAACCTCTCCTGTGCATACACTAGGTGGCTGGACTTCCCCAGCAACATCCGAATCCCATGGTCATCCATCTTCATCTACACTGCCAGAAGAGGAAGAGGAGGAGGAAGAGGAAGGCTATTGTCCTCGATGCCAAGAGCTGGAGCAGGAGGTTATTTCACTGCAACAAGAAAATGAAGAGCTCAGAAGGAAATTAGAGAGTATCCCAGGTATCCTGCCATATTCCTTGCAAGACAACTGCAACTCTTACTCCTTTCACTTGCCTCATCTGTCTGTCTGTATTTCTGTACTCATGTATGTGGATGTGTATATGTGGAGGGGGCTTTTTTTGTTTTTTGGCCAGTGATGTAGAAAAGCTGGAAAAAAACCAGACTTGCACAAGGGCTTCTTAGCCTGTCCAGTGCCAAACAGAAAGTTTAGGATGAGCCACAAGCCAGTTTACTTCCAGCTGCTGTGCTCTTGTGTGTAGGCCTGAACACTATAGTCCTATTAAAAGTATCTCTATCAATATAAAAGTGATTTCTAGATGTACTGCTTTGAGGTTGAAATAGGTCAAGTGCTGTTAGCCTGTTTTCTTAAAAAGTGGTCATGTTCCTTTAAAATGGCTTTTGAATTTTTCAAATTTTGATTGTATGCATGTTACTAGTCAATGATAGAAATTAAAGTAAAATACTTTCAGAGGCAGGACTCAAATAGTACTGAGCAAATGAAATGGATTTCTTCTGCTTCATTAATTTTCCCTGCCTTTCCTTTTAAGTTTCAACAGGCTTAGGCTCTTTAGCATACACACTGTTCTTTAAGGTTATTAAGAAACTGTAAGCTAAAACTAATAGGTTAGAGATAGGCCAGTAATTAGGCTAGCCCCAAACTGTGGCCCTGGCTAAACATGAGGCATTTCTTGCCTCTTAGACTGGATTTTCAGGGTGTAGTAAAATCATCTTTCTGTCAAGACATTCTCTGGGTTGCAAAGTTTTTTGTTTTTTGTTTTTTTTACTATTTGATGAAGTACTGATTTTACTTTTATCTTTGAATTCATTCCTGTATGTCTGTGGCTTACAGAAGACATTAAGATCATTAACAAGAACAACCTCTTCAGACCTTTTTAATTGTGCAGTTGATGCTAAAAAGTGTTTAAGCTTGTGCCCACCAGTCTACACATTTATTGGTTAATTGCATACATGTACTATTGTTCTGATATACAGGGTTCAAGGTTCAAAATAAATCATACGTAGGAAATTTTAAAATTTAATGTTGATACATATGTATAAATGTAAGTCATATTCTTTTTTTTTCTTTTTTTTTTTAAATTGAGAGGGAGTCTCACTCTGTCGCCCCTGGAGTAGGCTGGAGTGCAGTGGTGTGATTTTGGCTCATTGCAACCTCTGCTGCCTGTGTTTAAGCAGTTCTCCTGCCTCAGCCCCCTGAATAGCTGGGACTACGGGTGCACATCACCATGCCTGGCTAATTATTACTATTATTATTATTTTATTTATTTTTTTTTTTTTGGTACAGACAGGGTTTTGCCATGTTGGCCAGGCTGGTCTCAAACTTCTGACTTTGGGTGATTGGCCTGCCTCAGCTCCCCCCAAAGTGCTGGTACTGCAGGCATGAGCCACCACACCTTGCCATTATAAACTATATCCTTTTCCTAATATAGTATCTTTGTATCACTCAATTTGGCAGCTGATCTAGAAAGAAGGGAATGTTAAAGAAAGCGACCCACGGCCGGACGCGGTGGCTCAAGCCTGTAATCCCAGCACTTTGGGAGGCTGAAGCGGGTGGATCATGAGGTCAAGAGATCGAGGCCATCCTGGTCAACATGGTGAAACCTCATCTCTACTAAAAACACAAAAAATTAGCTGGGCATGGTAGCACATGCCTGTAATCCCAGCTACTCAGGAGGCTGAGGCAGGAAAATTGCCTGAACCCAGGAGGCGGGGGTTGCGGTGAGCCGAGATCGCGCCATTGCACTCTAGCCTGGGTAACAAGAGCGAAACGCCGTCTCAAAAAAATAAAAAAATTTAAAAAATAAAGAAAGCTACCCACTTGTTGGCCGGGCGCAGTGGCTCACACCTGTAATCTCAGCACTTTGGGAGACTGAGGTGGATGGATCACGAGGTCTGGAGTTTGAAACCAGCATGGCCAAAATGGTGAAACCCTGTCTCTACTAAAAAGGCAAAAATTAGCCAAATGTGGTGGCACATGCCTGTAGTCCCAGCTATTCAGGCGGCTGAGGCAGGAGATTCGTTTGAATCCAGGAGGCAGAGGTTGCAATGAGCCAAGATCATGCCACTGCCCTCCAGCCTGGGCAACAGAGGGAGACTCCATCTCAAAAAAAAAAAAAAGAAAGCAAGCTACCCTCTTGTTTATTAGTAGACAAATGAAGCAAAAAGAAGTGTTAATCATTTAAAAGAATTCCCCAAATAGAGCTGAGGTTTGGTTCAGAACATTTTGGAATTAAATTAAGTACAGTTGTCTTGTGGAGGGGAAGTAAGAGGTATGACAAATTCATTCTCTCCTTTTGCACTGGAGCCCTGGGGTTAGATGCAGAGGCATAATTTTTTTCCCACCCAGGCAGGCACTGACTGCAAGAGAGACACTTGGTAGAACCCAGAAGGATGTAATGGAACCGGATCACTCCTGGTTTCCTCAAGTCAGAGACGTGGTTGCAGCTAACACACTGTTGGATTTTACAAGTCTCACAGCTATGTAAACCATGCGTAGTTCACTGTGGGTTTATCTCATAGGGGTATTTTTGTTGTCACCCTCACTGCCCCTTTAACTAGGGCAGAAAATAGTGTCCTAGAGGTCATGCAGCTATAGGAACTTCCATCAGCCACTCAGAACCATAACCAAAGGAGCCTTCCTAGCTTCTGAAGTGCTTAGTGGCACTCCTTGATCTCATCTTGGAAAAGAGTTTCAGAGTGCAAGGACAGGTGACACAAATGTCGCAAGTATTATTGTCTAAAATCTGATCCTAAATATTTGGCAAACTATATGTCCTTGATATGTCCCAAGCAAATTCAGTCCCCCTCTCACTTACTGAACCCATAGCACGTCAGGTGCCTGTGTCAGGGGTTAACTCAGTGTTGGCCTGCCACTAATCATTGTCTTTTAACTCAGTGTTGGCCTGCCAGTAATCATTGTCTTTTGTACTTCCCAGAAAGATGGAAATGCTGCAATTTCTTGAGCTTTGTTGATGATCAAACATTGAATTGACACAGGTTGTAATTAGGCTAATGATCAATCCTATTACTGTACACATTCAACCCTGTTGACAGTCCCCTCCCTGAAATTGAACCAGCAACCATTTCACATGGAACCATATGTAATTATGTTTAGTAATACATCCAGCAATATGGATGAAAAGCCAGTTTATTAATTATGCATAGCAAAAATAGTATACAATGAAGAAAATTTTAACTTATTTGTGCTTATTTATCACATGTTTTATGATCTAGGGACACCTTAATATTGGAAAACAGATTAAAGTGTCACTTGGAGATGAAAACTTGATCAGAGCTGCCCTCTTGCCCTTACCTCTCAATAAACCAGCCTGTGAGTGTCATCCAAGAATCCACTTTTTACTCGATTAGCTATGCATTTTTGTGGAGATACCTGTTATCATTTGAAGAAAAATGTGCTACTAGTTTTGCATGGAATAAAAATAAAAAATGTTTTGTCATGCAGTAACTCTCCTCCATAGCTTGGGGTGGATTTTCCCTAAGCAGCAGTCCCTCACCGTCCTAGAGGCCAGTAACATTTCTGTGGAAGGACCTGGGGCTTTCTTCCAGTAGTAGAGTCCACCTGTGCTGTGGGAATCACTTTTTTACAGCCAATCAGGATGGATAAGTACAAAGGAGAAGATAGCGCTCAGCAGTTGGCACAGAAAATAAGGTTGAAAAGGAGATGGGTCAGCTGCTGCAGGCCAGAGCCCAGGCAGCATTCCTTGGTCATTTCTCCGGAGGAGTGCTGTTGAGGATCTGTTGTGTTTTGTTGTTGTTGTTGTTTTCTGAAATAAAGCCTTTATACCTGGGAGCAGTTCTTGAAATGAGAGTTAAAAATAAGCAAGCCTATCAGTCTACAAGAAAAAAATGATTTCACTTGGGCAGCTCTCAAGGGAAGATGTAAGAGACCATACCAAAGAGAAAGAATCTGTGGTCAGGCACTATTTCTGACACTACTCCAAGAGGCCCAGTATTACTGTATTATTTGTAAATTATCCAGCAGTCTTTTGATGATCAGTACATGCAAGGCAGGGGTTTCTGGAAAATTCTCAGTAACTTTTCAGAGACAGTTGGCAGGTATAGGGAATTCATATTTTATCCCAAGGAAATAGAATTAGCACATTTTCTTTTGTATTAGATCACCGCACTGGAAAATCAGAAAGTCTGTTTAGAAGTTAAATTTTTTTAAATGAAAGTGAAATAAGGTTAAAAGAAAAAAGCCACAAAAACAGAAAACGTTTGGATTAGGAATGTGAAGGGATGAGAGGTTATTAAAAGAAGGAAAATGGCACATGGAACTTGGAAAGAGTGTCAGTTTTAGAGTAGTCACATTTACTTAGGAAGCTTAGTGGACACTAAGGAGAAATCATAAAGGAAGGCAAATATAAAATGTACTATTTCATCTAATCTGAGACGCCAGTGGATGTAAGACACACCAATCTTTATGTTCCACTAAGAAAGAAGAAAACATAATTGTACATTATAATTATATTTGAACACAAACTCCATAGGTTTTGAAATATGAAAAACTGTGGGTCTTAGAATCATAAAATGTGATGATTTTTGCTAAGAAAATTCCAAAGTGAAATAATTATAACACATTAAAAATACTTTGAACTTTTCTAAGGGCCAAATATAGGGAATATCTATTTTTTGTTGATATTTTAAATAAACTTTGTTTTGTAAAGTATACAACATGAAGTTATAGGTATAGACAGTTGAAAGGTTACTGTAGTGAAGCTGATAACATATCTATCACCTCATATAGTTAACCATTTTTTTGTTGTTCTTGTAGTAAAAGCTGCTCAAATCTACTCAATAACCTTAATCTCAAGTATGGTACAGATTTGTCACCTGTATTCCTCATGTTATATTGGATCTCTAGACCTATTCATCCCACATCTGTGCTACTTCATAAACTCTATCTATAGCTCCCCATTTCCACTGCCAACTCCCCACCCCTCATACCCACTATTTTGTTC